ACATTTTAATGTCTTTATGTAATTTTTCAAATTACATCCGTGATTTATGCTCGTTATAGTTGCGCTTTCTTAGAGCTAGAGGAATAACATTGTGATTTCATATATGGATTTATTCCTCACTTTCTCCCTTAATAACATCCTGATAAGATAAATAAAGGTGTTTTTGTGGTTGGTACATGCAAGACTATCATGTGTTTTCCAGAGACTGAAATTCACAGAAGCGCCAAGCCAAAAACTAGCCCTTATGGGAATCAATTCTTTTTGGTCCACACTTTGTTTAGGCAAATACGAATTGGTTTATCTATAATTAATGTATATACAAAAGTTTGGAGATAATGGGACCAGTGAAATGTTTGCATTCCAAGGAATCTATTACATTCTGATTCCTAACTGATGATATATGTTCGCCCACGAGTACAGAAGGTCCTTGAAGAGATACTCGAGCTACTTCTAATAATAATGTAAAAAAGAACAAATAAAGTAAAACTTAACAAAAATCAAATACTGTAATGAGAGAAGAAAGTTGTTAAGTTACTAATACTACTGCCAGCTTTTGTAATTGGTTCGCTCATCAGCCGTGGTTTGAGGTGTTTCTTTGAAGGTTTTGTCGTTGCAAACTTGTAGTTGCGACCTGCTTGTATTCAGTACACATGTTGAATATGACGTTAACTGCAATAAACCTGAAGTTAATAATGAATCAGCTCATAACGAAAATGTAAATAAGTAACAGAAACAAGAGTTTGAATGAACAGACGTGTTACAATGCTAGCGATAAGATCAATTTTATTAGGCTTAACATATTTCATTGTTCACCATTGTAAAGATTTGCTTGTGAAGTGCTTCAATCATTACATTTCTATCATATCTGGTTAGTTTCGTTGGGCTATGGGTAAAAAAGTGGTATTGTGAATCCTGTTTTGCCAGATGTAGTTGTATCTGGTATGATGTTGAAGTATATTGCCATACGGTAGATACGATCTTTGAAACTTGACCATCTGTGTAGACAGATAGTGTACGTGTACAACAGTCATGGTTATGTGCGATCTTCATCTGTGTAGACAGATAGTGTACATGTACAACAGTCATGGTTATGTGTGATCTGTGATATTGTGATTGAATTTGTTAGTATCTGAGGTGATTGGAGTAGTACATAAGGATATTGAGTCTCTGCCACTAACTGTATAGCCAGTTGTGGGAAGGCAGTTACCCTTAAATTTCTTAAAGTAGAAATGAAGCCACCCTAATATTTCTACTAATTAAACTTCCAACCTACACCCTTACAGAAATATATCAAATAGAACTATAAGATATTAAATAGAACTGAATATAACTATACACCATACCTTGAAACTCCTTATGTAGTTCTAACTCCCAACATCCTCCCTTTCTTCTGAAGATTTATTAAAGTATAACAAGGGAACGCAGAGACAAGCTTAGCTACTTGAAGATAGTCTTTCCATCCCGGTTATACTGAAAAAAAAAAAACTTGAAAAATTGCTATTAACTACTTATAAGCTAACGTAACTAACTAACTCCCTCTTTATTTTTATAAGGTATTTTCCTTAATCGATAGTTTATTTTCTAAAATATTTTTGTATTTATTAAAAAATAAAGTAAGGTATTTCTTTAATTACCTGTCTTTATAGCAGTTATCTTTCAGTTTATTTTTTAATAATAAAACATTATCCATAAAAAATGATTGTTATTACAGACTATTAAGGACCGTTTTAGTTGAGATATAATAATACCTTTTAACCTGATACACGGAATAACACTATTAGGTGTGGGTAGACCAAGAATGGAAAAAATAACTTCTCTTCTTTTATCAAAAATAGTCAACTGCAATGTACTTTCTATAAAAGTAATGCCCAAATTTAAATAATTAGCAGGGACCTCATTATCATTATTACTTTTTGAAGCCTTATATGTTTGTATATACATATAAATTATTTGTAATAACTATGGAAACAGTGAACGAACTGCGTATAAAACAAATATTATGGGATTCTTCCACTCGATGTTATACAAATGAATTGCATCAGAGTAATCACGTGTTGATAGCTTACATTGTGACTGGCTGTCGTCCGACCAATTAAACAGTGCCATACCAGTATAATGTCTATAAAAGTAGAAGCAGTCATACTGTTCTCAGCAGTAGTATGGTAATTGCACTAATGACTCTCAGGATAGAAATGCCACATACCAAATATGTAGAAATCAGAGCTTCCACTTATAAAGATTGCAACATTTGAAAGATTAAGTAGTCTACGCAAAGGTAGAGAAAGGAGAAGGGAATCATGGTCAACATGTGATGTTTGCTGTGAAACATGCTGGGGAGGGGAATCAATGCATTAGTATATTAGCTAGTGGTGTTGCAGATCTACATAAGATTGGTGGTACAAGTAGATATATACTTCAGGAACAAGACCTACTGGTAAGGAATTCATCTTTCAGCAAATAGTAACATCGGGTATGCAGTAAATGTAAGAAAGCAGCAGCTTATAGAAATCCCACAACCATTAGTTGAATTGTGGCGAGTAATATCAGACATTTTGACCAATATTTATAACCATATGTTAGTTGACGTATGATAACACGAAAACAAGATGAAATACTCTGTTTTAGCAAATAATATATATAATATTACAATAATTGGTCACTTTCAATTAATGTACATGAGCTTCTTTTACACTTTGATTTCACCACTTTATACAAAAATAAAACTTTGACTGATTTGGTAAGTTTTAACATATTATTTGGACAGTTTGAATAAATATTGGAATTTACTTTTACTAAAAAACAGTTTAAATAAAGTTTATTTAGGTTTTTGTATTTACAATAATTCCCTTAACTTTCCAAATCAAGTATTTAACAAGTTTAAATTCCTATCGGAGATAACTGCATTCAACTAATATTGATAATAGATATTTATCTTTCTTTGAAACTATATTCTTAAAACAGTGTTATTCCCTGAAAAGTATATACTTTAGCTTTTCGTTCAAATAGTTATCTAAATTATAACATTTTTAACTAATATTTAAACTTTTCCTTTAATTTATTCCTCTCTATTAATTATACAATGTACTAATAACGCTGTACGTGATTTAGATGTGGATATATATAACTATTTTTCTAATTGTAAAGTCCATACTTTTAGATTCGATGAAACGTGGACTTAAGTTGTAGATTTTTGCCTTCCTTTTGTTATTAGGATTGTCCTTTCTAACTAATTTAAAAGCATGATAGTTCAAGAACTAAATGATTTGCTCATGTTTCTAATGATATTCCTCTTTACATGAATAACATTTCTTTATCGACAGATGTGTCATATTTTAACAGTTTTAAGTGGTATGCAAGAAAATAACTAAATTATATATATATATATATATATTTGTAATCGATATCATTAGTCACTGAATATTAAATAGCTTTATTTAGTTCATGTATTAAATATTTTTACTGTATATTGTAAAATATGTTTCAAATATTTTTACTGATGGTGTAGATGGCGCTAGTCATTCGAGGTCGTCTTCTATTAGAGCTAAATATCTGGCCTGGAAAAACAAAGCTCAAATAGTCCCAGTTAACTCGATTTGTACTCAATAGGTGAAATAGAACTGGTTTATTAATCATGCCATCCAGTGGCACAGCAGTATGTATGCAAACTTACAACGCCAGAAACCGAGTTTCGACACTCGTGGTGGGCAGAGCACAGATAGCCCAATGTGTAGCTTTGTGCTCAAACTCCAAACAAACAAATTATCGATCACATCTACCATGGGTTTCATGGTTAGATACTTAGATACTGAGGCACCACAGTAGTTGCTATGGCTAGAATAGTACCTATTCATACTGACGTTCCACCAAATGTATAGTAAATCCTATTTTCTACATATAGATACTGATTTTCTTCCATGGCTTTAGTAACAGGAATCTTGTATATGGACACTGTAACAATACCATTGCTGTAGTGCCTAAAGTATTACATTTAGATAGTGATGACTTAAACAGTATATGTGGGCAATGAGATAGTACTTTTTATGACTGTGATGCCCGATGCTGCTTATATGATGAGTCTTAAGTATGTAGTGAGACCCCACAACTTCCGTGATACTGGCATTAGCACACATAAATATCACTTAAAGAGAGCAATCTTGTGAAAAATATATAAAACAATGTTAAACCTACGAAAGCAGGATGTGATATACGAATAAAAAATGAAATCTTTCTGCAGGTTAACTTAGGGTAATCAGGGGTAAAGTAAACGATGTGCATCAAATGGCTCAATAAGTGCATCTTATGGAAATATTAAATTAATGAAGATCAGCGCCATTTTTGAACAGATAAAGTAGGGAGACTGTTTGTTAATAGAGAATTTGCTATTTCTTTTCAGCAAAGTTTTTTTCTCTTGTAGTAGCAAAGTTTGTTGCATTTGTATACATTTACACAGTCATGTGACAAAGTCATGAAATAATAATTTTGCTAGCCAAGTCTTTATTTTTATATTACCAGTAATCTTTCAGAACGGGTAAGGTTAAATGGTTTTTATATACACGCAAAATTACACAAAGACTATCTGCACTTTTCATTCCTAATTTTGAACTGAAAGACTTAATGGAAAGCAGTAACTCAACAGCACTCACCTCCAACTCTTGTGTTTGATCGAATAGTAGGATTTGATCACTATTCGATCAGTGGATTAGTCAAAGACTTAAGGTGCGGAGCGCTGTTTTGCGTAATGAGACAATAGCTAACAATACTCGTATTCATAGACAGGCATGCTAATTACCAAGTTTATGTTAAATATCTTATACTCTCTCTCTCTATGGATGTTTCCATTAGTTTAGACTTGTTGATAATGCTAAATCAAGAGCTGATAAAGATGTATAGAAAAATCGTGTTTTTAGAGAAAACAAGAGTATTAAAAATTACAATTTTAAAATTAAGTAGGGATACTGCAACAAAAAGTAATGAAACAAGAATTAAATCCACAATCAAAAAGTTTATAAAATGTAATCCTAACTTTGGTCTACAGATAAGTGGATAAATCTGCCAAAGTAGGAAGCAAATTTTATAAAGTTGTGATTGTGTTTTTAATTCTTGTTTCATTACTTTTTGTAGCAGGATCCCTAATTTATTTTAAAATATATAATTGTTTAATACTGTTGTTCGTTTACTTTTTATGTTATACCTGCATGAAATATATACTTTACCTTCAGAAACTGTCGCGTGTCTATCCATCGAAATGTAGCGCCTACTGTTGGGTTGAAAAGATATTTAAGTACGTCCATAATATGTTTACCATTTATATTATATTTGTATATATATATGACTTTTATCGGAATATTAAAATCGGATACCCACAGACCAGTCAATTAAGCTGGAGAAATCTTGTAGCGATAGTCCGATTTGCCTAGGTGCTAGCGCTACTGATGTTATCAGGTAGGTAGGTCGTAGACGAAAAAATTGCTGTTTTACAAATTTCTGAATTGTTATACCGGAAATGTTAGCGACCTTTGTAGCGTATTATTAGTGTACCTGCGCAGATTATATCGTAACCAATAATTGGAATGGTCGATTTTTCACTTTGGAATTCGATAGGGTGGTTTTTCGGCGCGTGAATTATTTGGAATCTTTGTCGATCCCTACTATTAAATACTACCGTACTAAAAATAACTCTATATATAATGAGTATGATAGCGTGACGTTGTTAATATTAACACTGTAAATGTTGAGAATAAACCCTATTGATGATGATTCTCTTCGATTCTACCTTCTACCATTGGATCTACTCAGAACCTTTCATTTTACAACCAGTAAAATTACTGAAAATAAATTTGTAAAATGAGAACAAGAAACGTATGACATCTCATAATGTTTTAAATATTTCCATGTTAAACGAATGGGTTACTGTAAAAAATGTCCAGGTCATAGGAATATCACTGTAAAGGTTAGAAATGAAAGTTAAAGGTTTGATATAAGGAAAATTATGATATATACTCAGAATACTGATATATTATGTGACATTTCGTATGAAAATCTGAACAGCGATCCCACTGGAAAAGTTGATTTAAAGAACAAAATGATATCTAACGGATTTAAAAAAGTAAAATTTAATCAAACTTCCTGATAACTTGTAGTTGTCGCATACAGAAGCTCCTGAATATATGAACTTGTAAAGAAGTGATCCTTCCCCATGTGTCTAACTGTTTAAGATTTGAAACTCACTATTTGTTTCATTATTACTTGACAAACTACTATACCCTAATTTTGAACGGAGTTCTAGCACATCTTGATATAACTAATCCTATCCTTACCAAAGAGCACTTTCAAGTATTGAAGGCACATGTACACAGCACCCAATGGCACAGCGCTAAAATCCGGATTTTGACACCCGTGGTGGACACAGCACAAATAGCTCATTGTGTAGTTTTACCTTTAACTACAAACAAACAAGAACACGTACATACCAAATTTCAAAAATTAAGTAATAATAATAATAATAAGTATGTCAGCAATTTTTAGTTCAAAACATTTTATAATAAATAACTTGTCATTTTGTGAGATTTATTTAGTGTAGTTCACAAACAAACAAAAAATTAAAGCTCTGTGAAGCCTAGTCTATGAGAATTACACTTGTTGATGATTCCTTCAGAATATTTATATCCATCACAAAATACAGGCTTATTATATTTGATAAGATACGATAATCCTTTGAACATATAATTATCCCTTTTTTGTTTGTCACGTGATTTGTTTCCCTAATTTTATCAGTACAGTCTCTCGTCCCTACCCTTTTATCATCTCGCAGCATGTGGAGTCAACAACTACTAATGAAACTTAGCTTTCAAAATAGTTACAGGTAAAGTTTAAATACATTAAATTTAGCAGATTATAAGCTATTTGTGTCTATGTAATGTCAATGGAGTGGCATGAGAAATATTGTATGGTTTTATCATAAAGTGATTAGATGTACTTCTTGCAGAGAAGAACATAGAAATCTAATGTTAAGTTTAGAACGCTTAGAAATAAGCCACAAATCTGGGAATTGTTTAAACATTTCTTTCGATGTTCTTTTCATTCCTTAAAATATGTTTTGTTCAGTTATATTTGGTTTGAAGCTACTGAACCCTGATTTCTATGATAAGATATCAGGTAACTTAAGAGAGTTCATTATACATCGGCAAAACCTTCTGATGACTCAAATGTATATTTTTTATATCATAGTTAAGTTTATCATATTCAAACACCAAACATAAATAAATAAGTCATAATGTATTTAAACTAAAACTATAGTTATTAAATATGAATTGATCTTGACCAAGAATACTTTTAGCAAAAATGTTACCTAGATTGCCCTGACACTATTTTGAAAGGTCAAGTGTTAGGGACCAATAGATTTTGGCCAATTTATGTGTCGTTTTCTAATAACTTATAGCCGAATGTGATGACTACTGTTATTGGCAAAATAAAGACTTAAGTCAGCAAGTAATAATGATGTCAATGATAATAAGGCGGGATTACATTGTGGGGACATGGTATGATTGTACAATCCACTCTAAAGTTAAGTAGATGTTGGGAAGGACCCTATGCTATAATGAAAATAATCCACCATTGGTTCATAGAATCCAGAAAAACAAACAATCCAAGACAAGGGTTCTCCCCTGTCATTATCTTCGGAAATATGTCTGCGAGAGAGTATATATTTTGCTAACTGCAAATAAGACTTCACCAAAGGTAAGTCAACAAGCTGAATAGCCCAATTCTTTTTTAACGCAAAGGTACCCAATAAGCTATCTGCACTTTTTCCACCACGAAGAATCGAACCACGGATTTTAGCTTTGTAAATCCGTAAACTTAACGCTTGTGCATTGGGTGACTTGATTTAAAAAAAACGTGTGTTTTGAATATTCCTCTTTGTTTTTTGTGAGCCCCTCTCCAGTGGCACAGCGGTATGTCTGCAGACTTACAGTGTTAGAAACTGGGTTTCGATACCCGTGATGGGCAGAGCACAGATAGCCCATTGTGTAGCTTTGTGCTTAACGTTAAACAAACAAACAAAAAAACAACAAATCTTTTGTCAGATAGTAAATTCTATTTTTATTATTATGGTTTTTTTTATCGTTCATTTATTATTTCCTTCTATCGTTTAGTTTATCAATGAATTTTTAGTTGCATTAAAATGCTAACTCACCAACTACATAATCATTTGTATTTTGAGTAAATATATATGTGTGTGTATGATGAAATTGTTACCAGCTTCTCTAGCGGTCTCTCTAAAGTATTAATTGTAATTCACTGACATTGGACACTAATGAAATGGTGTGAAGCTCTTGTTGTCTAAAGTATTGACTGTAACTTTTCACTCACATTGGACACTAAAGACATGATGTGAAGTTCTTGCTCTCTAAAGTATTAACTGTAATTCACTGACATTGGACACTAATGAAATGGTGTGAAGCTCTTGTTGTCTAAAGTATTAACTGTAACTATTCACTCACAGTGGACACTAAAGAGGTGATGTGAAGTTCTTGCTCTCTAAAGTATTAAAAGTAACTATTCACTCATCAAAAAAAAAATATATATATAAATATATATATATAAAAGTATTGTTAAGTAGCTTAAAAAATGAAACTGTTTTTACTATTAAGGTATTAGTATATTCAAAAGAAATATCTTTTTATTTATTTCATTTGTTTTCAAAATTGAATACATTTTAATGATTTTGTAGTTTTCTTAATTTGATAAGTTATATAGATAATTATTATTTATGAAGTTAAGTAACCATTTATTAATAGTGTCAGTAATTTTTTCTTCTTTAGATTATCAGCCATCATACTTACTTTTCTAGAAACAATGTTTGTAGTGATTCTCTTCTTCGAGGCTTCTTTCAGGTAAAGGTACTTGTATATTATTGTTTGTAAAGCAAAAGAAGACAGTACAATTACAATATTTGTGTAATTTTAAATTCTTTTCCCACAATACTTTCTTGATGCCTTGTAACAACCACTAAAAGTCTGTTATAGTTTTTTGTTGACAAGAAAATTTTCCAGAAACAAATCTTTTTTTGATTTGCTGCTTGCTTCATCAAATGCCTAGCCTAAACCTCTGTTTACATGTATTTTATATTTCCTTTCCAAAAGTTTTTGATAAGATATACAAAGTTTGTTTTTAAATTTCCTAAGGCATTAGATAACATGATCCAAAAATGAAATGAACATTATTTTGGTGTTGGTAAATGGACTTAACTTGTCTTACATGACCTGAATAGCTAGAATAGCTTATTGCTCTCACCAACAATCCTGATCTAAGTAATATTTAAACAAAGTAAAAGTTTGTCATTTTAACCTAATTAAAAAGACTAACTCATTCAACTCTGCAACAGTTAGGTGTTTTCAATCTGAATCACAAGCAAGACACTCGCTAATAGCTTGTCATGTTCGACCTAAACAGTAATGTTATAGGATTCTGCAGAAGCTAGTCACTACTTACCTAATCAACAAGAAAAACATATAGAATTTAACAACAGTTTGTTATCTTGGATCTAAAGAATTCAACAAGCTTGTTAATTTATGGAACAGCTAGTCGTACTTAACTTCAACAACTAAACAGAGTTGTAGAACTCAAAAATAACTAGGCATTCCCAACATGAGTAACAGATGATCTTGAACAGCTTTTAAAACTCATTGAAGAAAATAATAACTAGTCATTTCCAACATGAGTAACAGATTATCTTCAACAGCTTTTAAAAATCATTGAGGAAAATAACAACTAGTCATTCGAGACTGATAACAATATAAATTTAAAAATGTTAGCAATACATGAAAAATAGCTATTCCTAACCAAAGCAAAATCTGAACATGCAGAAACAGTTAGTTATTGTTACTGTGTTTAACCAGATTTGTAGAGTTGAGCAGAAATTAGTGATTATGGAGCAATGTAATAAGACATACTCTCAGATCTCGGTTGTAGCAAGCCATTCTTGACCATATTAAGAAATCAAACTTTTAGAACTGTAAGAACTAGTGATTTCTGGGTGAGAGATCTGAAAGAATAAGTGGTATTTTTAGTTTAACTTGTGCATTAACAAACGAGCTATATGAAATAAAAGGTTTTTCAATTTAACTGAATCAACGTTGGGTTTTCAAAGGTTTGAATAAAGCTGTTTATAGCCACAATGGTACAGGATGTTATTGTGAATTGAGTGGAATGATAAATTTGGATTAAACTGAGAACAAGTCACAACGGGGTTGTAGGGTATTGGTATGGTAGCCAATTCCAGTTTGTTAAAAGTTTAATGAAAGTGTCTAAATTTAATAATACAGAAACCATTTGGTAGGTTTTGTTACAAAATAAAGTAATGATTATAATATATTTACATATTATTTGTAGTATTTTATTTCTAAATAGTACCATAATCAGTATCTAAAAAAAATATTTTCTTATGTTTTGTTTGGTTTTCAGAGATGAGAATAAGGATAAGTGTTTTCGCTGCTGGCAACGACTCCAGTGGTTAGATCTGTGGAGGAAATCTGTACTCTATTTTGGAATGTCGATTCTTTGTTTTATCAGACCGTCTACTGTATGGTTAGCCACAGTTGCAGGTATCGCTGCTTAATTTATCACAATTTTATCTACAACAGACTTGTACATTCTATTAAAAACTTTCCACATTTCTTGCAAATATGCATAGTAAATACAGTATTATAATCAACCTTCCTTCTTCAATATGGGATCCATTCATTGGACCAACCCTGTGCACATTTGTTTAAACTGTTGGTGTCTCTAAGAATTTTATCATTATATGGTGTTAAATGTACATTGAACAGCCTTGGTAGAGTTCCGTACGTATATGCTGTTTTTTGATGCTATATATTAGCATTAGAAAGGCTTACTATCTGGAATCAGTGTCATATGATATTTTTGTGTGTAATGTTTTTTTAAATGTTACTTGTTAGGTGTGCTATTTATTCATTTGTAATGGTCTAAAATGAACACTGCTACAATCAGGGTTCAACAACAAAAAACAACAATTTATTTACAATAACAATAATTAGAAATAAATTCAACACTTAGCAAGACACATTTAATAAACAAGTCCCTGGCCAGGACTTAACACCAATATTAATAAATCAATGGAATTAGGAAAAAGAACCAGAAAGAGAAAAACCTAATTAAAAAACAATAAAAAAATACAGTAAATATAATATTCTAACAATACCTTTCAATTTCGATAACAATATCAAGTGATAAACAACAATAATTTACTAACCATCTTGTGACTTACTCTTTCTTAGTGAAGCTTCTGGCAGGGTATTTATTCACACAGTACATCACGAAAGTACAACCTCATGATCATAAATTTACATACTCTTCTGCTACATTAATAGTATCTGTACATCCAAGAACTTCACATCATGTCTTTAGTGTCCAATGTGAGTGAATTGTTACAGTTAATACTTTAGACAACAAGAGCTTCACACCATTTCATTAGTGTCCAATGTCAGTGAATTACAGTTAATACTTTAGACAACAAGAACTTCACATCATGTCTTTAGTGTTAAATGTGAGTGAATTGTTACAGTTAATACTTTAGACAACAAGAACTTCACATCATGTCTTTAGTGTCCAATGTGAGTGAATTGTTACAGTTAATACTTTAGACAACAAGAACTTCACATCATGTCTTTAGTGTCCAATGTGAGTGAA